TTTTACTTGCTTATATAAGTCAGGTCTTCTTATTACTAACTTGCTTAAGGTGAATAGTTCATCATTAATCAATTTAATAAAAAACTTCTTCTTTGTGAACCTTTGAAAAAAGTATTTTATGTGTTCTATCCTTTAACTTATCCTATATCAGATCTCACATCCTTTTGCTACTATATTTTAATAAATATCTTGTTTGATTTGAAACTATTACATTCTATTGCTGATAGCTTTAATATCTCTTTAATCAATCAATTTGTTTCTTCATTCTATGAATCATTAGAGTGGACTTGAAATTTGATTAAAGTTAATTGAATATGCTTTTTTTTTATAAAATCTAGTATTCTTGTCCATAATATTAATTATTTTTTTAATTATTTTTTGTATATTATTTTGATATCTTCTTTCTTGTACTTTTTTTATTTAGAGATACAAACTTGACTATCAGTAGTGATTATGATGAATTGAATCAGATCAGATTTTAACTAGATTTGATATGATCTAGTTTTTAAAAATATAAATCAAATATAGATCTGATTCATTTTAAACTGATTTGATCTGATTCAAAACTATAATAGTTTGATATAATCTGATTCAAATTTAAATTGACTTTATTTGATTTGATTCAAAATCAATTTGAAATCAATTTAGTATATTTTGAACCTGTTTTAAAATATATTCAACCATATCTGCTTTGATTTAACTAAATTAAATTAAATATATTTAAATTAATCTGACTTTATTTTAATAAAAAAATTTTAACTAGTATATTTTTTTTTGAAAAATATTTTTTAACTTTAAATTTAAAATTTTTTATTTTATTAAATTTAAATAAATTCATTTATTCTATTTATAATCATTCATTTATTTTTATATTAATATACTTCTTACTATAGTCAGTACCTTTTAAAATAACTTAATTTTCTATATCATTTTTTTCTTTATTTTTTATTATTAATGCTTTAAGTACTTACAAAATATATTGATCTATCAATAATTGATTATATTAATAATCCATATAATATTCTTTTTCTTTACCTTCTCTTCATTTTTTTATAGTTAATACTGTTTTTTGATCAAATTTTGGGACAATCCACAAGTTATATCTTTCATAGACAACACCATATATCAGGAATTTTTTTGGCAAAGATCTTCGGAAATTTTCAAGTATAAAATTCCAGAGGTGCTCTGTTATCATTAAAAGTTTTCAGAGTAGAGATTTATATATAGAACTCTAAAGATTTTTTAATGTTTTAAATTTTAATAAATTAATTTTACATTATTATTAAAATATTTATTTTTAAAAATTTAAAAAACTCTTTTTGCTAATCCTCTGACAACATATAAAAAAGATGTTTGCAAGAAGTTTCTATACTTTTTTACTAATAAAGTCTTAATACTTTTATTAAAATAACTTGAAGTATGACTTCAAGAGTCGCTTCTACCCTTTCCCTTTTTGTTTATAAATCTTTTTACTCAAAAACTTGACTTCAAGTAATCAAGAAAAGTCAAGTAATACCTTTAATACAAATGGCAAGAAAGTTTCCAAAGGAAGAAGAACTGACTATGAAGTAACTGAAGGTCTATTTAATCTTTAAAACAAGAGATATATAGAGGTTTTTGATGACAAAAGGGCTTATTTTTCCCCTTCCAGTTACTTGTGAGCCTCTTAGAGCTTTAACTTTCATGGTTTTTTGGAGAATTTTGCTTACTTTAATTTGATCCTAAATTTTGGATAGTACAAATTCTCACCAAAGATGATTAGCTGACATAAACAAACTCCTATTGATTATATTCATATGTTCTTATGATGACATAGATAATTGGAAAAAAAATTTCCAGAAATGTTTACCTCCAAAAAGCTCAAGTTCCTTAATGAAGACTTCTATGATACCAAAAGATCAAGTAATAGGTAATATAAATTACAAACTTCTTTTTCTTACCTAAGCTCCTCAAGTGATAACAAAGTTTTAATGAAAAAAAGTAGAGATCTAAATGCTTTCCTTGAGATATCACAATCCAGTACTTATTTAAATAAAAGACCAGTTGGATTGACTCATCTAATGTTGTAGATGGTGAAAAAAAAGATTTCTTCTGAGGTTTAAGTAAAATAAGAAGACTATCTCAATTAGGTAGATTTCTTTTGAGAAGATGTTGTTTTTATTTTTGGATTTTTTTGGTGAGCCTTGAATTGTCTCTTTTCCTCAATCTTTTTCTCCTTTTTCTTTTTAATTTAGCAATTCATTGGTTTTTGAGCAATCAACAATGACAAACTATTGACAATGATCCTAATAGATAGAGATTAATACCAATCTATTAGGGAAGTGTAATATTGTCACCAAAATTTGACTTAAAGTATTTTTATATGAAGACAAGTTAGTCATGTTGTAAAAGTCTATAAAATATTGTAGATTTACTTCAATTTTTCAATAAAGACAAGCCATTGTGATATGATTGCAGGTTAAAAAAAAAATAAATATATATAGTTTATTTATATTTACTTTTAATAAATAATATGGAGGGTTTTTTTTTTGATTAAAGAAAAACTATCTTATTTTTAATTTTGAGAATTTTTTATGATTTTCTTTTTTATAAAATTTAAAATGATACATAAAGAAATTACAAAATGTCTATTACATAGAACATTAATCTAAAAAGACAATCTAAGAAAAGACTAGAATCAAGACATACAGTTATAGCTTTATGAATAATACAATATGAATAGCAAGATCTAAAAAAAATATAAAAAGTTTTGAAAACTAAAAGAATCTTCTATAAAGCCAATAACTTTCAAATAAAACTACAAGAATCTTCTAAAAGCCAATGACTTTCAAATAAATAATAAAAAATTAATCCTAATTATTATTAACAATCTTAATTACTATCCAAAAAAAGTAAAGATAAGTATTAAAAAAGAAGAAATTAAAGAACTTGATAGAATAGAATAGATCATATTTTTAGGAATTTGGATAAATAATTAAAAAACTACAATTAAGCTTAAATAATAAGTATTTAAAAAAATCAATATAATAACAAAGCTCTCAAATATAAAAATATGACAGATAAACAAATTCTCTATATTCTAAATAAAGTATTAATATCTAAAATAGAATTTAGAATATAATATTGTATATTATCCTAGAAAATATATAATACTTTAACAACAATATATAAAAAACTTTTTAAGAATAAGAGTGATTTATATAGATTTATATCTAACAATATAATTTATTATTTAAAGATCTATAACTTGCAAATATTTTGATACTACAATGAAAAAGTCAAATAATAGGACTCTATAATAGACTAAATGATTTCAGATCAATAGAAATCTCAACAATTATTAGACTCAAAAAAATATAAATTAAAAATTAAAAGTTACTTAATTTATTAATCTATAAATTATTAAGTCATATGATAGATAAAAATATTGTAACTTTATACTTCAAGTAATCAAAATTGTAAAAAATATGGGACAATATTCATAGTTGAAAATGGCAAGATATCTTTAAATAGAAAAAGAAAACCAGTTGAATTAGGAAATATCTTATATTAAAAGAATATAAAAAAGTCATATTATCACTTAGAAACAATTAACTGATATATTTGAACCAACTAATTGATCAGGAAACTAAGAAAATAAGAAATTGACAAATACTTTAGCTTTTACAAAATACAAGCAAAGAATCTATACTTAAATGATTTCAAATAATAATAAAAAATTTTTTAGGAAAACAATCAAAACATCTTATAAGATTTTGAAAAGAAAACTATACAAAATAGAAATTAGAATATTCCAAAATAAAACCTAATTAAGACAGGTAAAAAAAAATTGTGGATAGTAATAAGAACAAAAAAAAATCAAATAATTTGAAAAAAGTTAAGACAAGAAAAAAAAGAATACAATGTAATAATAGAATATTTTACCTGTTGTAATATTAATAATGATCAGGAAACTAGTTTATAAAAATATTTTAGATATTCAAAAGGTATAATACAAAATAGTAATTATATCATAGAAAAAGAAATAAAAGAGATATATATAATATCATATCATAATATAAAAAAGTTTACTAGAAGAACATGGTAATTTAAAATTTCTAATTTCAAGATAACACTTGAAAAAAGAATTAAAGAAATGATTTACAATAATTAAAGCTCTTTAATAATCTGAAATAATAGAGTAAATTATATGAACATAATCTTCTATTCTGATAAATCACTTATTAATTATGTAAAAAAAGAAATGAAAATGGGAGTAGCTTGAATTTAGATAGAAAAAGAAGTAAAGAAAAGTAAATTTCAAATAGAAATAAATAATTGATCTTCTTTTATAAGAGCTAAATTAATAGTTATTATAACAATATTCCTGATAGTTTTAATTGAAAGCATGATTGAAATTTGTATAGATAGTTAGGTCTATATTTTCAAGTGAAAATCTTTAGAAAAAGAAACTCAAGAAAAATATATAAGAGATGACTCAAAGAAAAAAATTGATTTCTTTGAGTATATATAGTAGAACTAATAAAAAAGAAAAATATAAATCTAAAGTTCACAAAAGTTAAAATATACTCAATCAATTTCTACAATTAAGAAATAAATATCTTAGCAAAGGAAACCTTGAAATTTTTATTGATTGAATGAAAAAATCTTATCTCATATAACTTAAAGTTTTAATAAATTTTTAAAATAGAAATGAGTAAGTTAGGTAAAAACTTAATTTTAATAATATATTTTTCAATGTAAAGTATACATATATTTAATAAAGCACATATACCTAGCCTGACAGAAAGAATAAAAATAAAAAAAATAATAATAATACAATTATTTTTTTTTGTATAAAATTATCTGTTTATATATATAACTTATGTTACACAATCCAAACCAAGTGCCAACGCAATTTGAATTATAACAAGTTAACCAGAATTATGCATAATTCCGGCCAGTATTATAAAATTCTGGGATCGCGGTTCTTGGACCGGACGGGTATCATCACTATTATATTAGGTCTTTTTATATTTCAATTGTTCCCACTGGCTCCTATGTTTTTTATACAACATCATACAAGCCTGTGCATCTTCGACCTAAAAAAATTAATCGTGAAAAAATTTTTCAAGAGGACTGACCAACAATCGGTGATCAATCACCTACCGAAGAGTGGCACCCTTCTTGGATCGTCATTCCGAGTTCTTCTTTGGCTAATCGTTTTAGGGAAGGAGTTTTTCCTTTTGTTATCTTGCGAAACGGTTTGTACAGGGAGGTGTCGCGTATCATCTGTCGAGGATGATCTAAGAGCAATGCCTTTTTTGGAAAGTGTCAGATGCGTAAGAATCTATTCTTGATTCATAGAAAAATAACCGTATGAGTGAAATGTAATACCCTAAGATCATGATGAAGGGCATGGCCGATGACTATTCGATTTTTTATTATATCCGCCACTTCGCGTTGAACTTGATTAAATTCATGAGCTGCGTTAAAGCAAAAAAAAATTTTTTTCTTATCGATAAATGTACTCGAGCTTATCCAACCCGCAACTCAGAAGCACCAAATAAAACTCACATGTTGCGAGTAATTTTGGCGTGATTCCATTGATTTCAGTTCTGAAATCAGTGACGCGTTCAATTGGGCGTACATATTTATCAAGTATAACTACACCATAATAATTCACTATAGTTACTCGAGCAAGGGCCGAGCTTTCGCCATTGGGCCCCACCCCAACCATCTCACAATCAATTGCAATGTACTTCCCAATTCTTGTCGAACAGCAAAAAAAGATGAATTGTTAATTATAATTAGGTGGTTGTTGTAATAAGAAGGATACTTACTTTGTTTTATTTCTAGGTGTTAATCGCTCCGAATCCATTGATCCATTTGAGGATATCGAGTCCATCACACGATGAACTTCTTCAAGGTCATCTTTAGTGTCATCGAACCAAATTTCGCCCTTTCTTAGTACTTTTTTAGTTACCGATTTTTCATCTGTTCCATTAGAAGTTGTTTGCTGGTGACTGGACATCGAAAACAGCGAATGTTACGACATAAGTTTAAATAGATAATAATAGCGAACAAAATGGTAATTTAGTGACTTCTAATTACCTTGACCTTATACTTTTGACTGAATGCTGATTGACCTCACTGCGTTTCCGTTTTTTATTTTTCGAATTTTTTGCGTTTTGCGCAATTTTCTATGGCACATAAAGTCCAAATTAGATTACAGGAAGTAAAATTATAATAGAATTTAGATATGTCGAGCACACACATTTTTCAGTTTTTGCCAGTTCGAAGAGGGTATAGTGACGAAGGACATTTGTCGTCAACGTGAAAAAAATTACCTAACCAATCTTATTCGATCGACCAATCAAGCATCAGTATAAAAATTCCCTAAAAATTTTCGGATCTTTTTGCAAACTCTGTACACTATGGTAAAGTTCCTTTGGAACATATCTCCTATGTAATTTCCTCCCAAATTATTTTTATAACATTTTTTGATTTCACCCATCCTATTTATAGGACTTTGAAAAACCACAGCCAGTGCGTTACGCATTCGACGACTCCGATTCCGACTTTGAAGATCAACTAGAATCTGATAAAAAATTTACTACCCTTGATCCGCCAATATTACGTATAACCGGCCATAAAAAAACATTAAAACTCGGCATCGATCTTGTATTAATTGGAACCCATGGTGGAGGGAATTTATTCCTGGAATCAATTACCAATAAAAAGAAGCTGATTGGAACTATTCTGTTGCCTGAAGTAGAATTGGTACTAATTCTCAAAGTTTAAAGTTAACCTCATTACTTGTACAAGTGGTGGTTTTGTTTTGTTTTTTTTACCGATTTCCTTGAAAGGTGACCTTCAAGACATATATCTTGATTCACAAATTCAGACGCTAAACACCTTAAACCAGGAGATCTATCCAAATCAAGGATGTTTTATTTATGAACTTGAGTCCAATTCTAGAATTTTGATAATCCCTTGCAATTATAAGATCGAGGATGATCGATCTTTCATTTGGGCTAAATCCTTGTTTGAGCACATCAACCCAGAAAGGTAGATTTTCAACTGTAACGACATCACAAAGTTGCACACCTTTAAAGTTTTAATTAATATTATTGTCGTCGTAATTTTGCGCGATCAGTGTATACATTTTTGACACCTACAGGTCATCTTCGTATATAACTGGTAATAGCTCATCATCTCCTTCCTATCCGCCTTTCTGTCGCTTACTGCAGTCAAGTGTTGCCCCAGAATTGGTATAAAGGAATCATTTATTCGACAAACAAAAATTTACTTTTCAATTTTCCCTTGAAATTTGATTTCTTTTAATTCTTGCAGGATCATCCGATCCCTAAATATGAACCACCGAATCTGGTTTGCAATTTGTCCGCTGCCTTGTTGAGTCACGTAAGAATTCTTTTATTATAAATTTGTGAAATAATTTCCAAGAATTATGTTTTTAACTGCATGCTATGTGAATACGTACGAATCCATATTTTTATTTGCAAAGTGTGAAATACATGGTATCATGGCCTATTTACTATTAAGCTTACAAGACTCATTTTCCGGTAAGGCTGATTCAACTTCACAGACGCTACAGGGATTTCAAGAAGTTTTGGGAAATTTGAAATTGAGTGACTTGGGGCTTAATTTCGACTTCAATATTGTGTTTAATCAAAAGTCCAAGAGAATTAAAAAAAGTCTTTACATTTGACCCCCAATAAATAACTGAAACGTTTCGTCATAACAATAAATTATGTAATACAATTAGTTACAACGACAATAATTTTCAGATTCGGGCACAATTTATCAAAAAAAGTCTAAAAATATAATACCGAATGACCCGGGTAAGTCTGGGTCACTTTAACAAAGAGGCTGAAACTTGCTTCTGATTCGTTTTAGATGGTCGCAACAATTGTTCTGGGTTTGGCGCAATTAAGTTACCACGTACGGTACAATTAAATTAATGGGGAAATTAATTTCATCACCATTTTAGGCAGTAACATATGTACGGGAAATCCATGATAACGTCCTTGGATTTACCGCTGTTAAAGTGTTACACGGATAATTCTACCGGGCAAACAAGACTATTTTTACTTTTTGACAACAATCCTAATTCTTGTATAAATATGACCACTTTTTTTCCTTGGATCAAATTATTGCTGCTGGCAATCTACATTCCCTTTTAGAAGAAGAAAAAATTTTTTAAAAACTCTATATATTTACAATATTTACTTTCCATAGAATTTACATTATATTATAGCACAGCCGGCTGTGAAAACATTCCTTATTTCTTTTATTCACGCGCTTATATTCTCATTTCAGCGGGACTGTTATCTTAACTTATCCAATAATATTCCGGTGATAGTCATAATGTTCAATTTATCCATTGAAAACGTCCCTGGACTCGTCGTAAAAAACAATAATAAAAACGAAGCTGGCCTCGATGAATCAGAAAAAAAACCATCCTTTTACGCCAACGCGATACGCGCTTTTCAAGAGAATCCTCTAGTCTGGATAACAATATTTCTCGTTTTCCTTTCTACCTTATTCCTTTTCATCTTATTGATCGGTGGCACCAAGGCCATTTATCTATCAGAATTCACCTTCGACGAACCCATAAGATTGATCACGCACAAAAACGAAATTACCTTCACCTTATATGGATACTGCATCGACGATCAATGTCCCCAGCCTTCGATGACCCATAATTTCGACGAGCGTAAGTTTTTGAATTTTATTTAACAATAAAAATTATTGTTATTTCAATTTGTTTTCTGATAATTTGTTTATCTTGTGATCACGAATAGTGCCTTCAGCTTCGGAGATCACCAATGGTCCGTCGCCACCTAATGTAAAGAGGTTTGATCCTAGTGACATTGGGTCCACCGTTGGATCTACAATTGGGTCCACTGTTGGGTCCACTGTGAGCACTGTTGAGAATGCCGGAAATACCGCTGTCAATGAAACTAAACAAATCGTTGACGATGCCTCTAATCTATTATCTTCGTTTTTAAATGGCCTTGCTAACTTCAAGCCGGAAGTACCGACAGTCGGCCTCTCCGGATTCTTCTCTCTTCCATACTTATTCGCAATGACGTTTAATTTAATAGCTTTATTTTTTTTATACTTCGAAGTCAATTTTTTTGCCGTCATAATGATATTGATCTCTTTTATACTTAATTTCATTGCTTTTCTCTTTGACCTACTCCTTTTTGTTTGGGTATTTGACCTTATAGCCATTATACCCGGCATCGGAAGTCAACACACGGGACCAGGAATTCATTTGGCTGGTTGGAGTGCCTTATTCTTAATTACTTCTAATGTGTTATTATGTTGTAGATTTGGTGGTAATGCCGTGAGAAGTGTCACGAAGAAATTTAAGAGACAAGAGAATAATAATTGGGTGTAAATACGCTAATGAGTATGTAGTTTTCTTCGGGGAAAAGGATACCTGATTCATCTGTACATTCTAATGGAATTGTGTTGTAATAATATAGAGTTTTTATTAATCATATCTCAGTTGTGTGCGATTGAAATTTTATTGTTTCGTACATGAAATTGAATATCGATGAATTGTCAGAATTTCTTATCAACCGTGGTCTACCAAAAAACTTCCCTCTAAAGAAACCGTCAAACAAAAAAAAAAAAAAAAAATAACTCAAGCTAGCAAAAGCAGAATAATGCCACTCGCTTCATACTATCCAGGTTATATTTGATACCCGCGCTTAAACCATTTCATCGAGAAAGTTTTTTTTTTTTTTGAAACAACTCAGCTTTTGTTTGACGATCCTTGGTAAGTCGGATCTTCAAAATAATAATCTTGTTAAAATAAAATCCAAGCCATAAGGTTTTAATATATATATATAAGGCTTTCCTTACCTTGACTAGGATAAAGAAAACCGGGAGGATTTTCACCGGGTGGGGCCGGAATTTCCAATGATTCCAGTGGTGGAAGAATGATACCCTGAGGCGCCATAGATGCCTGTACTTCGGTTTTGGGTCCCGTAGGTCTTGGTCGACCCCAAGCTATCTTTAACTCGTGCCCTTTTATATTTAAATTGCTGTGAGACCTCTCTATGGCTTGTTCAGCCGATGTCCTCGTCGCGTAATTTATGAAAGCGCATTTCGACTTGTGAACCACCACGACAGATTTTATCTCACCAAAAGCATAGAAATGCCCTCTTCAAAAAGACTTATGAGAATTTTCATCAATAAAAAAAAAAAAATGGCAAAACTTTATTCTCAATGCAATGTCATACCTTAAATCCGTTTCGTCAATGTCTTCTTCCACACCAGTTAGAAATAGCGATGTCTAACGGAATTCTCAGTCTTCATAAAAATTTCCAACACGAATTATTACACTGCAGTGAAAAAGAGAAAAACTTACTATAGACTTATCTTCTGGCGGTGTAATATTTGAATTCCCACCGCCCTTTATGCGATTCAATATCTTTTTAGCCACTGGGTCGTTTGTACCATAATAACGATCTTTGATATTCTGGTGTGATAATTCGTTTTCTTCCGGTATTTCGTGCCTTGAAAACAATAACTTAGTGATTTCACACAACCGAGGTGCTCAGCTGCAAAGAAGCAACTTACCTATAGGGGCACTCATCGCCACGCGTGCAGGTTCCTTTAACAAAAAAAGAACATATGTGCGGCCGATTGCGCTTGTAATAGGGCTCCGTTCTTGCAAGCTTTTTCAACATCTCCCGACCGGTCGAATCGGCCTTCCCATAGCTTATTAAGCTTTCACCGGCAGCAATCTGTCATAAATTATTTAATGCATTTTTTTTTTTCCATAAAAAAGAGAGAAAAGACGTGAAAAAGGAGCCAACCTTTCCCTCAATGTTTTGCGCAAAGTATTCTCTGTTTATTTCTGATCTTGGTGCATCATTCGTGATGTTAAGTGCCGTGTCACGGACTTGAACTGGGAGATTGTATTGCAAATCTAGTAAGCATGTTTGACAGACGTTCTTCAATTTTGCACAAGTTTGACAGATTTCCGTTTTCTTATAACGCATGCCAGATCCAGGAAGCCATCTAAAGATGGTAAATGGCCGAGAGCAGACCTATCAATGATGGATTTTATTAATTGTCCTCTCTTTGAAAGCGCTAAACGGTTTCAATTTACCAACTTACTTTGCACTCTTTCCCGAAACCCTGTTTTGTCTAAAGATAATTTGAGAGGAAAAAAGGGTTCTTATGAATTAATTGTTAATATAAGGAGTATAAAGGGCGAATCAACCAACCATTCGAACATAAGGATTATCGCCCAAGCAAGTTTCACAAAGGATAGGAAATTCCTTTAAAATAAATGGTGAAGTCATGTTTATTAGGGTATTTTAAGAAGAAATCGGCATGTTTCGTTCCCAATACCTACTGAATCTTCCCAGCCTTGTTTATTCGGATCTGCTTTCGTTGCCATCTTTCGTCGACTAAACTTGTAAAAAAACTCAACACCTACTGTATTTATACATGAAGGTTGCACAAAGTCGTATGGTAACACAAAAGCATGATCTTTTGGAAAGAAGGGTTTCGAAAATAAAAAAATTCCATGAGAATGAATATACAGTATATACAGTATCTACGTGAAACTTTAACGATGTTATCTATATCTAATATGTTTATAATAACAAAATTTAAGACAATAGGTATAAATTTATTTTATGCTATTATAGCTTGTTTTTATTGAAACTTAAAATATCTAAAATATTATATAACCTTTTACTTAATAGCTAACTTATTTTTTTTAAACCACAACTGGTATTAAATACGAGCTTTAATAAGAATTAATTTAACATTTGGTGGATAAACAAATCCATAGCATAACATCAATTATCTCATACAAACTATATATTTCTATATACATGTAGATTAATGATAACCTATCACGGTTTGTTCTAGTTAGATCAGCTATCACTTCTTGAGTAGGCAGACCTAATTAGGAGTCGGATGATTAATACATAGTTATCAATGGTATGACTAGGCTAGTTAGTATTGAGCTTGTTAATTTGTGTTTGTTATTGTTTCACTAAGCTAGTCCTTTTTGTGTGTACCTGATATGATATTTTTATACTCTTTAATATTTCCAAATATTATTTGCTCAAACCTTGGAAGGGGGTATATTACCTTCTTTGTTACTATCTATGACATCAGATCAGTTCTTATTAACTGATTTTCAATTAAGTGGTATATTAGATTGGAATATCCTGAGCTAGAAAAGTGAAGATCCTGGAGATTGCCAGAGCAGGAGATCTTTGGGAGTATCTATGGTAGGTTAGACCAGAAGCTTTTCTTCATGCAATCCTTCTAGTAGTATAATCATAAATCTCAACTCCTGATCGATGGAAGGTCAGAAGTCCAATCTTCCTGTAGCCTAACCTAATTGGATCTTGTTTTAGATAATTGGGTATGACTTTTACAAGATAACTAATAGAACTTAATTAGAGGATGATTTTTGATTTTAGTCCTTAAGTAATATTGAATTATAGATTTTGTGATTATGACCTGGGAGTACTACCACAATACTATTGACCCACAGGTCTGGAATTCTTTATTTATTCATAACTTAATAAAAAATTATTATTATTATTTTTTTTTTTAACTTGCAATTATGTTGCAATGGTATGTCTTTATTGAGATATTAAAAAATATCACAAAGTTTATAGACTTTTACAAAGCAACTAACTCGTTATTGTATATTATTAATTAAAAGACTACACTACTTAAAAAATATGAGAAGTCCACTAAACTAGTTTAGACTAAACAAAACTAAGTCTAAACTAGGTATTCTAAGTCAGATTTTGAAAACAATATCACGCTTTCCTAGTAGCTTGGCATTAATCTTTAAGTTAATCAAAATCATTGCCAACAGTTTGTTATTGTTGATTATTCCAAAAAACAATGAATTGCTGAAATTAGCACTAGGAAAAAAAAAGGAAAAGGAAAAAAAAACAATTCAAAACCCTTTAAAAGATTTTTGCTCCATTTCACAGTTTTCTCTCAAAAGGGATTTGCCTGATTAGAATATTATCTGAGTTTCATGATATTCGAGAAACTTAATCATTCTCGAAAATGACTTCAAGAAGAATGTTTAAGAAACTTATTCTTCTACCAATGTATGGATTCACTTAATGTTACTGAAGCCAGTGCCATATTATGAAAGAATTTGCCTAGTGGGATAAAGAAATCTTTTTAAGAACTTTATCTGATTAGGATAGAAGCTTGAAAACCTCAGATTTTGTCCAAAAAAGTCTTTTCATTACCTGAAAAACCTAGTGAGAAATGAGAGTTGGATTTTTTTTTTCTATCTGTCATTTGTCTTTCAGTATTATAATTGCTTCCTAAAGATTGAACTTGTATGATTGGAGGAAACACTTTTTTTAGAACTTTTCTTTCTATATCACCAATAATATATCGAAACATGTAAGTAAACCAATAGAAACTTGTTTACATTCTAAAAACTTATGTATTTCATGTCAATCAATCACCTTTGATGAGGATTTGTACTATTCAAAATTCAAGGTCAGATTGAAGTAAGCAAAATTCCTTAGAAAATCATGAAAATAAGAGCTTTAAGAGGGCCAAGACAGTCAAAAAGGGAAAAAATAAACCTTTTTACTACAGAGAACCTCTATAAACCTCTCACTTAAAAGATTAGAATAATCTTCAGTTACTTCACAGTTAGTTCTTCTTTCTTTGGAAACTTTCTTGCTATTGGTAATACAGGTGTTACTTGACTTTTCTTGATCAATAGAAGTTAAGTTTTTGAATAAAAAGGTTTGTAAACAATAGAGGAAGGATAGAATTGACTCTTGAAGTCATACTTCAAGTTTTTTTAAGAAAAGTATTAAAACTTTATTAGTAAGGAATTGTAAAAACTTCTTGCAAATATTTTTTTTATGTGTGGTCAAAGGATTAGCGAAAAGAGTTTTTAGCTTTTTTAATTTACTTAATAAAAAATTATTTAAATAATATAAAAATTTAAATATATTTTTAAAAGTTAAAGAATAAGATTACTTAAGACTATTTATATAAGTTTTATATTATTTTATATTAAATTTT